CTATAAAATAAAATAAAATCTATTTTTTTGCATATATATATATATATATATATATATATATATATATATATATATATATATATATATATATATATATATGTATATATATATATGCAAAAATATATATATATATATATACATATATATATATATATATATTTATATATATATATATATATATATATATATATATATATATATATATATATATATATATATATATATATATATATATATATATATATATATTTAATTCTAAAAAGCAAGTTTCTTTTAGTTCAAAGAAAGAAAAATATTTATCAATATTTATAATTTTTAAATATTTAATAATATTTAATAATTATTAATATTTAATAAATCAAACTGTTTTGAAAGCTTTTCTATTAAACTAGTATAATTAAGTTAATCTACATTTTGAGTATAATTTTTAGGCAAACAATAATACAGAAACTCAATTAGTAATGTGTTATAAATACATTTAATGTACATGGGTCTTGAAAATTTGTATTAAGACTATATCTGCCATTTTTCAAGCTACAGACTATAAACATTGTATTAAAGTAGTGCCTCATAACAACTTGTGCTTTGCACAGTTTTTACATTTAAAAAGTTATTGACCAGCACACAGGAAACCTTGTACAATTTGCTTTCTAAATATTCATTACTTGCAACATCAAGGAAGCTACTTTCGGTGTCAATTATTTAAAGAAACTGCAAGAAATCAACAGTTCTTTAAAAGTCAGCAATAATAATATGAGCATATGCAACTTTTATTAATACGAGCTGTGTTTTCTTTTCTCACTGTGATTATAGTAAAAAGATCATTAGCTTTTTTTTCTATGTTGTTCACCTCCCCAAGGCCGAGAGAGCAACTACAGTTAAGGAGGTTACTTTATTGTGATAACAAACAAGGCTGCTGCATGAAGAACCAAGTTGAGCATGGTATGACCAGGAATGTGATGGAGATTGAACTTGGAACTTCCCACTTATGAAGCAAGTACACTACCACTAGATCACTATTGCATAAATATCAAGAGTGCCTCTTCATCATCTTCAAACCTGCAGCTTTTATAGTTGCACAATAATAGTCAATGTTTGAACCGAATGTTATTAAATGCTACATCATTAACCTTTTAACATAAGAACCAAGATTTTATGTAAATGTTAGCAAGAAATCTGTTAAACTGCTTTTTTGTTTTTTAATTTACACACTTCCACTGAATAACAATTTCATTGCTAACCAAAAGAATTTCAATCATTTTTTTTCATATCATTTTTTGATAGCTTTAGCCATCAATTAAGCTCTGTGCATTGCACTTGGGTTTTAAACAGTTGCAAAATCTTGTTGGTCAACAGTTGATCACACAATAAATCCCCCAAATCCCTATATCCCCAAGTTAATAGAATTATTGCGTTGCTGTAATTGCACATGAATTTAATTGTTGAAATAAATCTTGATATTTTTCTCTAAATGAGTTGAAATGCAAAATTTGGTACCCCTAATAGTTTAATATTGCTGTCTGCAAAATTTTACATCACCAACCATGTCTGATTCTAGCTATTGCTCTGCACGATGGACAGTTTATGCCAGTTTTTATGCTGATAAAGAAGTAACTTGTGGGGCACTTTTAGATTAAAGGCAAACTAGGTTTACTGCTTTGCATGAATCAATCAGATGTAGTCAATATTTCCAGTTTTGGTCTTAATTGATCTAGCCATGTTGTAACATGATATTAACTAAGTAAAAACTTTATTTAAAAATAAAATAGCTATTAAGATTAACTATTATTATTAAAAAAGATCAAATAAAAATTTGAATGAAAAGCTATATTTTCTGCAACAGTAAAACTTTATTGACCTTAGCATGAATGTTCATAAAATTTTAAAACTAGTCTGTTTAGCATTGACACACTATCCACATAAATATCACAATGCTTTATTGGTTACAACATTGATTCTTTTTTACAACAAAAAATTCTTTGAATTAATTTTTTTAGTCTTAGGACTTTTTTTTTAACTTTAATAAATTACATTTTAATTACTTATAAAGACTTATACTATTATAATGATATACAATTTTTTTAATTATATATCATTTATGAAGTTTATATAAAAATATTTTACAGCAGTAAAAAAATTTTTTTTCAAAAAGTAAATTTTATATACTTTAACAATTTTTAGTATGAATAAAAAGGGATTAATGAGAATCATAATTTATAAAATATAACAACTTCATATAATCTGATTTAAGATTATCAAATAAATTATGTTGTTATTTGTTGTATAGAAATAGTACAATAACTAATACAAAGTAAACATTTTAAGACAACAATAAAATAATAATGGCGATAATAATAAAAACAAAATTTATAATAACAAAAACAAATATAAAAATAATTCACTTGTTCTTTTTAAATAAGTTAGTTTGAAAGTTGCGAAAATAAAATGATAAAATGTAACATTTAGAAGTTCAAAATGATAATATTAATAAAATAAAATAAATTGTAATAATAATATTATGTTATCATAACAGCAATATTATTAGCAATGAAGATAAAAGGAAACTTATATTTAAACATAAAAGCCTTACAAAAAATTAAAATAATCTAGCTCATCTCTTGAATGTGACAACCAAACTTTTCTGGTCATTTCAAAAAAACAGTTTAATCCTTTATTAGAAATACTCTTCTGTCATTATAGTAATTTCTTACTTGAACAATTCTACAGCTTGTGGTGCAATATTTTTGTGACAGTCTTATAATAGTATAAATTCGCAAAATTATTTAACAAATGTTCAACTGAATCTTGTTTTCTTGAGTGTTGGAATATGTCATCTGTGATTCCAGTATATTATAAAATTCTGGAGATTGCTTTGATCCTTCTATCACCAATCAGTCTTCTCATTGCTATTAGTAAAGTCAAAAGATACTTTAATAAGAAAAATAATATTTTAATAAATAAACATCTAATATCTTATCTCATCTCTTGTTAATTGTTATGACTGAAAGGTTCTCTTGCGCTGGAAGCTGTGAAACAAAGACTATAATTTATTACAAATCAATGGCTTTTATAAACATTCTGATTATTTACATATGCTTTCACCAAATTGTGTATATAGGAACATTTTTTAAGTTATTAAATCAGCTCTTTCTAACGTTAATAATAAGTTGTCCTTGATGAACATTATTCTTCATTCCTACTAACTTTTAGGGTACCACAAGATATTAAGTGACCAAGATTGATATTTAACTGGGCTGGTGGCCAGGTATAATAAATAATACCCAGGGCTCAGATTGAATTTTTGACCAAGGCTGGATAAAAACTGATACATTATAAAAATATATTATTTTTATTCAAAAATCATGTTTTAATTTATATATATGTGTATGTATATATAAACATTATCATGATCATTATAATCATCATCATCATCATCATCATCATCATCATCATCATCATCATCATCATCATCATCATCATCATCATTATCATCATCATCATCATCATCATCATCATCATCATCATCATCATCATCATCATCATCATCATCATCATCATCATCATAACGATCATCAATATCATCAATATCATCATCATTATCATCATCATCATCATCATCATTATCATCATCATCATCTTTGTCATCATTTTAGCCTCCGCTTTTATTTTATTTTTTTAATATAAACACACATATATATATATATATATACATATATATATATATATATATACATATATATATACATATATATATATATATATATATATATATATATATATATATATATATATATATATATATATACATATATATATATATATATATATATATATATATATATATATATATATATATATATATATATATATATATATATATATATATATATATATATATACATCAAACATATTCTTTCCTTAACTGAAGCCTGTTAGAATTTTATGTAATGCACATTCTCCAAGTTTTCTTATTTCTACCTCTACCTTTTTTTCTTCTGAAGCTGTTACCCCAAAACATCTGCATCCTCATTGCTTATCAAAATAAACTTAATCTGTCTAAGACCAAGATTTTTTATTTCTCTCTTGGCAAATACTATGCCATAAATATAGGGAGAGTGGTTGACATTAGAACAGCGCCTTAATTGGAACACTTGCATTTATTTTGAAAACAAAATGTGTCATAGCTATATTTTGCATTTTTATAGTAAAATATCTTATTTTCTTTAATATGAGAAATTTTGAAAGTTGTTGCTCAACAATTTTTGTCAATTAAAAACTTTTTTTGCATTATTTTAATAGGTGATCTAATTTGGTGTTCACACTATATTCATGACACTGGGTAAACTATACTTAAGTAGGTTATACAAAATATTTTGTATATTAGATGTGATGCGATGGGATTTAAAATGCAAGTAATAATATTAACTTTTCTTATTAACAACTGAGAGCATGATATTGTAGTGATATAAAAAAAAAATCCAAACTTTTCATGATTCGAACTATACAGCTTTCCTGACTTAATCAGTCATTAAATCAAAGGATTGAAAAAATAATTCATGTGGAATTTAAAAATATATTCTATAATCATAAACTTATAAACATAATACTTTACTTGATTTTTAAAAATAATACTTTACTTGATTTTTGATTAATAAAATAAAAGAAAATCATAAAAGTGGAAGTTTTTATAATATATATTTGTACAACTCAAATTTGCTATTTCAATACTGTTACATGTTTTGATTGAATTGTCACTGTATAGATGAAAATAATTTTAATTGATTTCTGTTGATATTACTAAGTATTTTTAAAAGAAGCGAGCTGTTCTGAATAAAGAATTAAAGAGTTCAAAATTAGGAAACAGCTTGCCTTGATTAAAACAAACATATTGTTTTGTTTAGCAAACATATATATATCTTTATTATATGTCAGTATTTAATAAACAGTAAATAAACTTATAATATATAATCTATTATAAATGTTTTCCCAGCCTTGACTAT